TCTGCCCTTCTGGTAAATCTAGTCAGCCAGAGGTCCTTGTTCCAGGAGGGTCAGCTGTTCCTCATCTACTGCAATCCATTGTCAGTATTCCTTTGTATAGAATTGGGGTCTGCTGTTCATTTTTCCAGTAGTATGTTGGGTTACTGTCTGGAAGAGCCTTTATCTATCCTGGCCAACAACTTGACTGAAGGTATCGCCTGTCTGGCTTTGTTGTTTGTCGAGTCACTTTTAGTTTTGTACATGTATGCTCTTATGATATTATGTTGGCCCCTTTAATCTTTGGTTATACTTCCCTTTTGGGTGTTTAAGGACATACAATTGGACCAGATAAACTGATTTGTTTTTACTCTTGAGGTCGTTAGAGGATTTGTTCCTCAGGGGTCCCATGGGGTTGGGAGGAGCCCCTGGCTTAGATAGGATAATTTTTTAATTCAAATTACACCATTCTTAAAGTCTAGACAATGGTCTAAAATATTAAAATACATATATATATTTATGTGGAAAAGAACTGTCTGCAAGGACATAGAAATTAATACAGAGCAAAGGCTTGAGAAATGGTTCAGTGGTTAAGGGCACTGGACACTCATGCAGAGGACCAGGGTTGGGTTCCCAGATAGGATAATTTTTTAATTCAAATTACACCATTCTTAAAGTCTAGACAATGGTCTAAAATATTAAAATACATATATATATTTATGTGGAAAAGAACTGTCTGCAAGGACATAGAAATTAATACAGAGCAAAGGCTTGAGAAATGGTTCAGTGGTTAAGGGCACTGGACACTCATGCAGAGGACCAGGGTTGGGTTCCCAGCATCCACACTGCAGCTAACAACTGTCCAATATTTCTCATGCTACTTAAGCACTTTTCTTTTAAGAAATATTTTCCTACAACTACAAGTTTATAAAATAAAATCAGGACCTAGGGTGTAGCTCAATGGTAGAACACTTGCCTAGCATGTACAAGGGCCTGGATTCCACACCCAGCAACACACACAAACCTAACCACTACCACCACCACCACACAAAACTAGTATCATACTGAACAAAACTCATTGTATACTTTGAAAAGTATTACTTTATACTATACAGAACCATATTTCCAGATATCTTACCTAGATATACTGTTCTTAAACACCTAAACCATTTGGGTACTGGAAAAATCAATACAGAATTAAAAACATAGTCCTAAAAAATATCTTTCAAAAACTAATTACAATAAAGCTTACCATTTTAATGCCTGTGGAAAATGTCACTGGTTTCATAGACTTAGGTTTCTCCAGCTGCATTTCCAGTTGTGTAGATCTATCTTTATGCTGAGCCAAAAGCAGAGCAACGGGGAGATCAGAGCTCTCCTGTAAGAAAAGTTCAGGTTTAATAAGAAACTTAAAAAGCAACAAATCTTTTATTTTAAAGTATACTTATTCTATAAACATTTGATGTCAAATTAAATATCTACTTTATAGAGAACACTTTACAAATAATATTACCATTCCATAATAAGAAAAGGCTGCTGTAGACTCATAAATCAAAATAACCTACAAATAAGTGTTTTTATAAAATCCACATTAAAGACAATATAATAGGGTCCTATTTCATCTAGCCACCAAGAAAAAACCTAATCACAAAAAGAGCAGTACAAAGTACTATAACTTAGATCAGATGTTTATCTGAGACACATTCTTTTTAGCAGTGAATTCAGTCCAATTTGAAATTGTTTCCCATTAGATTTCACCTGAGGCCACTTGAAAATAATCTTTGTTCTGTTTTGTACAATGGAACTATTGTTAAGTATGAGCAAGTATATATTTATTTTAGCCTTCATTTTAAAAAATTAAATCAAACTTTTAATCAACAAAATGATAAGCATTTTAATATCACACATTGATACTAAACCAGGGTTATTATTTACACAAATCTGTACATACACATATTTTGAAAAGTGAATTATTTGTTCTAATACAGAGATTATTATTTATTCTGTTAAACATGAAGTCCACTTAGATGCTTGAGGTGCTGTGGAACTAAGGTCTAAACTAAAAGATAGTCAAACGTTTTCCTTTCTGGGTTGTCAGTTAAATGAGAACCCAGAAATACACGCAGAGAAAGGATTTCTCCCCAGCTCCTTCCTCTCCACAGAGTACATTCCATAGAAACAAAATACTTCTATCTCTTATATTCAAGTTATCTGTGAAAACAAACATATTCTTAAAATGGAGCCTGGCCTAGTGGCAGAGGCCTTCAGTCCCAGCTAGTTGAGAGGCTGAGGCAGATGGATGTAAATTCAAGGTCTACCTGGGCTACAAAACAAGTTTAAGGTCAGCTTGGGTAACTTACTGAGACCATCTCAAAATAAACAGCAGAAAAAGAGCTGGGAATATAGCTCAGTGATACAGTGCTTTGCCTGACATATATGAGACTCTAGTTCAACCCCCCAAAAGGGGGTTATTGATCTTTAAAAATGGTGATCACCCAGAATTTAAACCTGAAGAAACATAATATGAAAGCCAACATTATGGGCCAGGCGTGGTGGCGCACACCTTTAGTCCCAGCACTTGGCAGAGGCAGGAGTTCTCTGTGGGTTCAAGGTCAGTCTGGTCTACACAGGGAGTTCCAGGCCAGCTGGGGCTACAGAGAAAGAAAAAAAAAAAAAAAAAACAACAACAACAAACATTATAACAGAGTCTCATTTTCTTTCCAAATTTAACAAGTTAATAATTTATGTGCAACTGTAACTACTTAGTATATTTAAATTACTTGTTTTAAAGTTACAATATAGAGGCAATAACAAGGGATTCAACTCAATAGAACTGTCCTAAAACAAAGATTTTTTTTTAATTACATTTATTTATTTATTTCTCTCTGTGTGTGTGCATGTACATATGCATGTCACAGTACACACATGGAGATCAGAGGACAATTTGCAGGAGTTGGTTCTTTCCTTCCATCAGCACATTAAAATTCCATAATACAACACAGCATGGTGGAACATGCATGCCTATAAATAATCCCAGGGAGAAGGCGCTCAAGGCCAACCCTGGCTACCAGTGAGTTCAAGGTCACCTTGGACTACATGAGATTCTGTCACAAGAAAACAAAAACCAGAAATATCTTACAACAGAAGTTCTTTGCAAGAGCAATATCACAAAAAAACATTAAAACATAAGAATACAAATTTTCTTCATAAGATGGAGCCTTATTAAGAAGTAAACTGGGCAGTGTGGTGATGCAAGACTTTAACCCCAGCACTCAGAAGGCAGAGGCAGGCAGATCTATGTGAGATTGAGAACAGCCTGTTCTACATTGCAAGTTCCAGACCTGCTGGAGATACAGAAGGACCCTATCTCAAAAAAACAAAAAATATGGGGGGCACTGAAACTAAGATTTAGAAATAATAAAGGAGAATTAAGAAACATAGTATGAAAATATACTTGTATTCCTATCATATTTTACTTACAACAAAATATTAGCAATGCATTAGTAACAACATTGCTGTGAATTCCTCTAACAATTTTAGATTTCCATTAAGCATTTTCCAGTCAACTGTAAAATTAAAGATTTTAAATGAGCTATGGCCAAAATGTCTTTAAAGAGATATCTTTTCACGTACACAAACTAAAAAGGAAAAATAAATTTTCTTGACTAAAAAGTTCAATCATTAGCACTGGGGAGACAGCTCAGAAGGTAAAGGCACTTGCCCACAAGCCTGGAGACCTGAGTTCAATCCCCAAAACCCACATGAAGGCAAAATGAACAAACCAACTCCACAAAGTTGTTCTCTGACCTCCACACCCATGGCCCCCACAACACACACATAAAATAATAATAAATAAATAACTTTTTGAAGTTAAGTCAGGGGCTGGAGAGATGTAAGGAGCAGTTAAGAATGCTTTCTGCTCATGCAGAAGACCTGAGCTGGGTTCCTAGTATCCACATTGGGTGGCTCACAACTGCCTGAAACTCCAGCTCCAGGGAATCCAAAGCCCTCTTCTGGACTCTATGGGCACCTGCACATATGTGTCCACATACACACAAAAACACACATACATACACATGAAAAAAAGCATTTTTTTAAAAAGCAAAACAACGTGTTCACTTCAAATAAGCTACTAAGACTGGTTTGTTACAATCCTGGTTTTACATTTACATTAAAAGGAACCAAATGGGGCTAGAGAGATGGCTCAGCGCTGAAGAGCACATACTGCTCTTCAAGAGAAGCTGATTTCAATTCCCAGCAACCATGTCAGGGAGCTCAGAACTGCCTCTAACTCCAGCTCCTGGTGATCAGATGTTTCTGGCTCCTGTGGGCAACTGCACTCATTTGTGTGTGTGCAGTGCACGTGCACACACACACACACACACACACACACACACACACATATACACATAATTTAGAACAAAAAAAATTTTAATTTAAAGGAACTGAAAATATCTTGAAATATCTGAAATGTTATAAAAATTAGCATTCTAGGTATCTTACTTTAATAAATCATAGAATTTGCTTTAAATCTACTTACCTCTACTTTAGCATTCAAAATCTTAGAGCCTGAAAGCCTTTACGAGTATTAAACTAGAATTAAGCATTGGCTCTGATGATTAGAAAAAAAAAATACCTCTAGAGTAAAATAAACTATGTGAAACATACATGCTCTGGGGAATACAGAACATGCAGACTCATTTTTTTAAGCTATTTCATTGTTCTTAACATTACACTTTACTTTAAAAGGTTGCATAGCCTATAATAATTGCCTAAAGGCACACTGTTTAAATATTTAAGAAATTTTAATAAGACTGCCTGTAATACTCATTAAATGCTTTATAATGACCATTTTTTTAAAGATTATTTTAACTGACTTTAAGCAAGCCATCTGGCAAACAATATTTCTAATAAAAATCAGCTACTGCATTTGACAATACTAACTCATAGAAAATTTAAGACATAAACTGAACAGAATTTTCAAACAGGAATATAAAAAGATTTAATAAGACAGAACCTGATTAAAATCTTTTTCCAAACTATTAAAAAAATTGAATTTACAGTTAGGATTAAATAAATGGACTTTTTTAGTCAACATTATGGCAACTACTAAGCCATAAACATTCAGACCATAACATTAAAATCCTGTCACATACAGTATAATGTGCTACCAATGCTTTTTAAAAGGCTAAAAAGTGACTTTGGGCACAAGGACCAAACTGAAATACAGAAGGAAAAGAATTCTAATAAGTAGTACCTGTATAAATTGGGTCCAGGGAACAATTCTAAGGCTTAAGCTCCTAAGACATTTCTAGACATATTTACAAATGTCAATACTATCTTCACTTTCTTTAATTAAAAAAAAACCTAACACTTGAATATACATAGAAAAAGAAATATATTATTTCACTTCATTAATGAAGACTGATCAAGATAAAGACATTTAATTGATTTATTTAGTCAAGGACTAAAAGTATGCTAAATGTTTTTAACAAAAAATAAAGATTGAAATTTTAATGTAATTAAGAATCTATAAAACAAATCTTAGAGTAGAAACCAAAAAGCCAAACCTCAGAGGTATTCTAAACATTATGTAGTAATTAATTGTCCTGATGAATACAGTAAATTACTAAGAATTATTTAGCCACCACGTTACGTGATCTAAATAGTGAGGAAAATATGTGCAGTAATGACTTGCAGGTGAAGAAAACAGGAAGTGTGGGGATCACCTCACAAGAACCAGTATTAACTCCAGATCATACACAATGCACAACACTGGCAGTTTCACATCTCGCTTCATGCCTCATTGCAATGCGGGGGCGGGGGACTTCATGCCAACAGCAGCTCAACAAAGCAGCAAAACTCAGTGCTCTAGTGGACTAAAGGATGTACAGGAATAACTGCTAGCAAAGAACTCAGAAAAAAGTGCAAGAAAACTAACGGAAGCTGTGGGAGAAAACAACGTTTTATTTGATATGCTGCTCCCTATTTTGGGGCGGGAGTCTTTTTAGTCTTTTTGCAACAGGAGCTCCCTGTAACCCCAGAAGGCCTGAAACTCACCATGTGGACCAGGCTGGCCTAGATCTCACAGAGATCTGCCTGTCTCTGCCTCCTGAATAGTGGGATTAAAGGCAAGCACCACCACACCTGGCTTTGCGCCCTAACTTTTAGAATCAAATTCATATTCCACCCACAGAAAGTGAACAGGATAGGGTTTACTGCATTTTTCTTTCTTTTGTGTGTGTGTGCCTATGCAGGTGCCATGGCGTACATGTGGAGGTGAGAGAACACCCTGTGGGAGTCGGTTCTCTCCTTCCACCATGTAGGTCCTGGCACTCTAACTCAGTTTGTCAGGCATGGTGACAAGCGCCTTTACCC